AAAAATGGATCAGGTGAGTATTTCTTCTTTATTTTATCCCCCTAGACCAAAATGAGCAGTTAGCCCTTGCAGTGCGGTGTAGCTTTGTTTATGAGATCCGGTGCGTTTATGGCTTGGAACCGTGCCGTACACGCATTGGATGGTGTGAACAGGCCCTAAGAGTGTGAAACTCTGCATCCGTGGTCACTACTGTGTCATTTGTGTGTTTACATGTTGGGATTGAAAACTGAGCTAGATTTTTAAGGATGTGACCATTTAGGCCCCATGTAGACTTCATAATAAAATTACTGACCATCTACTCAGCATCTTTCTGGCATAAAGACCCTGCATAAAAAATGCATGAAGAGTGTGTGCATGAACACACATATAGGCAGTGCAGCGTTAAAAATGTGACATAAAATTTTACTTCCACATGATTCCTTTAAATTTACCCGCATGCGCATGTACACATGTTTATATGCACACGTGTAAATTTACTGTCCTCAGATGCAGATTTTTCACTTTTAGGGTCCATTCACAGAGCACTGTATACTTTTTTTATTTAGAACTTTATTTATATGTCACATTTGTTATGAGGTTTGTCATGTCATGTGACATTTAATTTAGTTCTACAGGCACAGCAGGGTGCGAGGCGGTTTTTCCGTGACGCAACCCGCTGCACGTAAAAAATGGAAGGCATGCCATCCTTTTTTTTCAGCACACACCACCATGTTTCAACCGCGACGTGCTGGTGTGAATGATGCCCATCTGTGGCAAGGCAAATTTCCATGTCTTGTGTTTGGCCTGCACTGGAAACGATGGCCGGAGCTGCCCCAATGCATTTGATGTGAATGGACCCTTATGGATCTGAATGCAGCCAGGGCCGGATTAACATAGGGGTGGGTTGAGATCCCGCTCCAGGCCCGCCTCTGCAAATAGGCCCGGCCGACCTGAATCGCGGCCTGCCCGACCCAAATCGCAGCTGGCCCAGGCAGCTGTGGCCTTCTATTCAGTCATCTCAGAGGGCCGCTCGCTCTTCTATAGGGCCCCAAGAGGCCCCAGCTGCCCTCTGATATGCCCGAGCAGAGAGCTGCATCTGCTGCCGCCAGACTCATTTACTGACTAACTGGAGCCCACACTGACCACCTGAGAGCCCACACTGACCACCTAGAGCTCGCACTGACCACCTAGAGCCCGCACTGGCCAACTGGAGCCCGCACTGACCACATGGAGTCCATACTGACAACCTGGAGCCTGCACTGACTGCCTGGAGCCCGCACTAACCACCTAAGAGCCTGAACAGCCCCCTAAAAAAGCCTGTGCAGCCCCCCTCCCAAACCCCGCACAGCTCTCTTGAGACCCTGGAGACATCAGGCTGCAAACCCAGAGCAAAACAGAGTATGTAGCTTCATATTATTCTGAATTGCTGTATAATATATTGCTGGAATTTGTAATCCTCTACAGCTGATAGTATTATTCTGCTGCACTTTAAATTATATTGCTGGGATTTGTAATCCTCTATAGCTGATGGTATTATTCTGCAGGGCTGGGATTTTTAGTCCTCTATAGTTAGTTATATTATTCTGCATTGTTGTATAATTTATTGCTGGGATTTGTAGTCCTCCATGGCTGGTGGTATTCGGCATTTCTGTGTAATGTGGGATTTGTAGTTCTCTATAGTTGTTGGTATTCTGCATTGCTGTTTAATGTATTGCTAAGATTTCTAGTACCTCTACAACTTGGAGTCGGTGGCAGATCTACCAGGGTCACAGCTGCAACCGGGCCCTGGCGCTCCACCACTGACTCCAAGCTGTAGAGAGACTACAAATGACAGCCCGGACAGGAGGAAGAGGGCCCCAGTGACCGTCACCATTTCCATAAAAAGGCCCACTAAAATCGGCAGGATCTTTCCGCCAGCGTAGATATCAGTGTTTCATTACGCCGCCTGCGTAAGCCTTAAAGATGTCATACACTGGTAGATTCTTTTATATGAAAAACTCGCCAGAACATTCGATAACGCCATCAGAGGCTCGACGTAGGACATTTCGGAATGAATGGAGTTCCCTGAGCGTTAGTTCGAGAAAATTTTTCCATCCCACCCCATTGATTATTTTTTGCCACTACAGTGATGGAAAACTATCGTTAACTTTAGAAAATCGAACAGACGTTCCGAACCAGAATAAAGTTTAATGAGCCCATCTCTGTAGTGGTAGATTGGAATGAAAAGATGTATTTGGGTTGCAGTAGTGCTACATGGGCACAGGACAGAGGGAAGCTGTAGCCCCTCTTGTCAGTGACCCCCCAACACTGCACTGTCTTCCCATTATATATACATATACACTCATACAGCAATACACATGTGACCAGGATGCGGCTGACGATAAGACACCCAGCTCCGGCG